CCGACCAAGGTAACCTGCGCTAAGAGGCAGCAGCTCTACCAAGTGTGCCACTGTGCTGCCGATAATTCACCAATAAAATAATCATCATAAATGCTATTTTGTATTTATAGCTTCACAAGCAAATTATTCTTACACAGAAAAACTTTAATGAAATAGATCCTAATTAACATTTTTGGTATTTAATTGTGGAACCATTTTCAAATGCAACTCAGAGCTCACTACTCTAAAAGAAAATGGAACATTTGCTGCTGAATTACCTAATAATATATTATGAGTGTAATGTGCATAATGTATTGTTTCTCATGTATGGGTCATATATATATATATATATATATATGTCATATGTTCTATGAACTGTTTTTTTGGCAATAAGTGTCTTCAAAACTATTTTTATTTAACAAGTTCTCTCATAAGCAGTTAATGATGTGTATTGTTTTATGTCCTTGATACCACTGACAGCTAAAGGCTCCCACATAGTCGGGCGGACCTTAGTCCGCAGAAGTCTGCGCGTACCGGATTAGACTCGAAGCGGACGCCCGCAGGGCATGTCTGCGCAAAGATCAATTTTTACGACTGTGTACACGTACTCGGTGTTGCACAATAAACTTCCCAACGACGGACTGATTTGTATGCTACACCATTGTATTAAATTCCCCTTCTTCATCCGTGGTCTGGTTTGTTGGCCTTTTCTTTAGGTTTTTTTTTCAAGAGGCAAGCAATCTCTTCCTCCTCGTCCACTGACGCCATGACTGAAATTGTGAGAAATGAAGGAATTTGTCATGAGCAAATTAAAAGCAGGCCCGGAGTGGCTTGCTGGAGTGTCTGGAGATTTCCCAGTGAGCCAGTCTGATGTGTGGGCTGCAGGACCAGCGCTCCTTGTTTTGTTTTTATTAGAACTTTTTCTTAACAACATATAAGCACAGAACACTACTGCCGCTTGCTGCTTGCTCTCTTTTTTATTTTTATTTTTGTGACCTGTCAATCAATCCAGTAGATGTGTCAGCAAATGACCAATAGTCAAACTCAATTTGTCCCAAAAGTAAACACCCCATACCTGCGGAGCTGGTCTACAGCCGATAGGGGTGTATGGACAAGTATGAAGTCTCAACCGTCTGCGGACAATGCCCGCAGTTTCCACGCGGACTGAGGTCCACCCAAATCTGTGGGAGCCTTAGCTGCATCAAAACACACTTTGTTAGGTGTTTTTAAACTTAGTGTATGTTGCACTGAACAAAAATATAAACACAACACTTTTGTTTTTGCTCCCATTTTGCATGAGCTGAACTCAAAGATCTAAGACTTTTTCTACGTACACAAAAGGCCCTTTTCTCTAAATTTTTATTCAAAAACTTGTGTAAATCTGTGTTAGTGAACACTTCTCTATTGCCAAGATAATCCATTCACCTCACAGGTGTGGCATATCAAGATGCTGATGAGGCAGCATGATTATTGCACAGGTATGTCTTGGGCTAGCCACAATAAAAGGCCACTCTAAAATGGGCAGTTTTACTGTATTGGGGGGTGGGGTGGGTCTGAGGGGGTCAGAAAACCAGTCAGTGCCTGGTGTGACCACCATTTGCCTCACACAGTGCAACACATCTTCACATAGAGCTGATCAGGTGTTTGATTGTGGCCTGTGGAATGTTGGTCCACTCCTCTTCAATGGCTGTGTGAAGTTGCTGAAGATTGTCAGGGACTGGAACACGCTGTCATATACGCTGATCCAGAGCATCCCAAACATGCTCAATGGATGGCATGTCTGGTGAGTATGCTGGTCATGCAATAACTGGGATGTTTTCAGCTTCCAGAAATTGTGTGCAGATCCTTGCAGCATGGAGCCATGCTTTATCATGCTGCAACATGAGATGATGGTCGTGGATGAATGGGACAACAAGGGGCCTCAGGATCTCCTCACGGTATCTCTGTGCATTCAGAATGTGCTGTGTGATAAAACTGTTTATTTTAGAGTGGCCTTTTATTGTGGTCAGCCTAAGGTGCACCTGTGTAATAATCATGCTGTCTAATCATCGTCTTGATATGCTACACCTGTGAGGTGAATAGATTATCTCGGCATAGGAGAAGCGCTCACTAACAGATTTACACAAATGTGTGATCAATATTTTAGACAAAAACCTAATTGTGTACATAGTCTTAGATCTTTGAGTTCATCTCATGAAAAATGGGAACACAAACAAAAGTGTTGCATTTATATTTTTGTTCAGTATAGACTAAAAACAAGTAATGACTAAAATTGGTTTTCATTACAAAACATAATTGTGTAAATCTAAAGACTAATTATTTTTTTGTCACTGATATTTGTGACCAGTTTTTTGTATTTCGCATTGTTATTGGTGTCTTACTATAGGTATGAATGGCAATAATACTTGAAATGCCCCAAGTCAGCATTTTTTATATGTTTTAATCTAACCTCATACGATGCATATTTGCAGTGCATACTGTATGTACAAATACCTCTTTGTTTTTGAGTTAGAATGGTAATCCTATGTTTGTGGACTGATGTAGGAGATTATTTTGTACTGGTATATTCTTGATGTTTGGAGTTATTCAGAGATAGTCTGAATGTGCATCCTCGAGCAAAACTTCACCACAAAGAACATAGATATTACTAACTTGTTTAAAGCTGGATCTTATATGTATACATATTGGGTACTGGCAGAATCGCATACAGGAAGGACAGCCTTCATGCTGCTGCACATCCAAGAGAAATATTAGCATTGAATCATAGGTACGCCTTAGGTGGTATATAGATATGGGTGCCCATATGAGTAGATGCTTGTGAGGTTGGGATACTCCAGCTGAGCTCTGTTCTGTTCTCGTCAGGCAGATATAATTCCCTCCCTTGGGAGTTCAAGAGGTCTTTGGAATGGCGAGATGGAGCGATCAGAAGAGAGAAGATGGGATTTAGAGATCAGTGCCTGCTGAGCCAGGTTACAAAGACCCATATGGGTCAGATAAGGGGCACCTGACGTCACAACAAAGGCATAAAATACATAGTGAAGATGAAACTAAAGAAAAGGAGAATAGAAAAGCAAAGGCAGAAAAAGAAAGACTTATCTGTTGACTGGCATAAAAAGTACAAAAAAATGTGAGAAATGTTCAATTATTTAAATCCCGTTGACTGCCACTGAGAAAGTGGAGGCTAGAGCTGTGGAAAGGAAAAACAAAAAGACAAGTACAATATGAATGGAGTGAATACAG